ATTGCTCTTATCAATTGTATATCTAATAAGACAGTATAATGACTTTATGTTTTGAGATGATCAAAATAATTTGTCATGTAGCTAAAGATGGAATATGGGTGGGCTAGGGGTCATATAAACACAATGAAACATAAAACCCAGAATCCTGAGCCTGCTCTCCCTTTTTCTCTCTTCTTCTTCATTTTTTTTTTTTAATGGCTGCCCTGCTCAAGAACTAGGTCCTGTACATACCAATGGGACAAGTTAAATGGAAACCTTATCTGTTAGCACCAGGAGTCATCTTGGTTTTGTATAATATTTTACAAAGCATATAGCTCTCATTTACTTATCAAAGCAGATAGATCTCATTTCCTTATTTAATTATGATGCGCATTCTGCAGTAATTATCCTTACTTTTTATAGATAAAGAACCTGAGACTCAAGGAAGCTTCTCCAAGATCACACAACTTGTAAATGGTCAAGCTGAGAAATAAAACCCAAATACTGTAGTTTAAAAGTCCCAATCCTATGGGTTTTTTAAGTAGTACTATGCCACAAGACCTTCACACTATTTGCCAAAGATGACGGCAGGCAGTGTGGAGTAAAACTAGCCATGTAACTTGCACAGGGAGAGCAGGGAGCCTTGACTGAGGCTTCAAGAGGTTGTGAAAAGGTGTCTTGTGGAGAGCCGAGCTGGCCACCCTACTTATTACATGACACCATTGGGAACTGCCAATATTGCGCACCTTTTAACAGATAAAAATGTCAACTGCATATGGCAAAACCTAAATCAAATGTAACCTCCCCTGACAACCTTCCCTATCCCTCTTCATTGCTTAACATTTTCCTTTGGCCCTCCTCACCATCTAACCTACTTTGTTCTATTGATTGATGTATTATCTTTCTCTTCCCCTAGAATGTAAGCTCTAACAGTTAAGGATTTTTGTTCACTGCTGTGTCCTCAGAGCCTAGAACAGAACTTCCCACAGAGTAGGTGCTAAATATTTGCTGTATGAATAAGTTTCAGTGGGACAAGAATGATGAGACTGGCAAGCTAGCTCCTTAGTGGTAGAGACACCCAATCGAACAGCTTGTGATACAATGGTACTCAAGGCCCTTCCCTTGCTCAAGATGGGGTAGACAGGAGGAATGAAGTCAGAATAGAATAATACCAAGGCTCCAAACAACAAAAGTGTGCTAATTAGAATCATCATACATCTTTATAAAATTCTCTTCCCACCTTTGTACAACATAACTCCTCACTGACACAAGCTGAAAGGGGAATTAGGCAGGAACATTCTTTTTGGTGCAGCTGCTGACAGGTGGAGTCTCCCCAGGGACCAATTCCAGCACTGTAGCAGTTTTTGAAGACTGCAAGCAAATATAAGAGCTACTAGAACCCTTGAAAATGCTTGCCATTTGATTTTCCTGTGTTCTTTACTCTACCTGAGTGTGAGAAGATGCTATCTTCATCAACAGTGTTAGGGTTAATCGTCATAGTCTCCTCTCTATTAATTGTTCTCTCCTCTACATTTAAGGTGAAATTAAAGGAAAAAAAAGAGTTTCTCTCAATAACATCCCCAATCAAGGACTTCCTAAAGACTCCTTGAGTTTTCTCCTTGGAATCCCATACTAGCCACAGCTCCTGAAATTCATGTCCTGACAGGAATGAGCCCAAGAAAATCTGGGCCCCAATTCCAGCTCTACTGTGGAGCCCACTGTGTGAGTTTGGGCAAATCGCATATCCTCTATGACTATATTCCAACACGTCTAAAATCCACTTTATAGCTTTGTTTATAACTAAGTTAATAAGCATGAAATCCTATTGTGAAGGATAAAGTACAGAATGCATCTATACTGAGATGATGCTAGGGCGGGAATTTGGGCCTTACCTCTACGTACTACTGGCCAAACTGAATGAGTAGCTAGGTATATCCTTCCGACTCTAGCAGGAGACACATAGGAGAGGGCTACACAGTATTCCAGTTTTGGTCTTCCCCTCACTGACTTTCGAGTACCCCTTACTTCTTTCTATCTTCAGTGGTCCAAGCAAACAAGACCTTCCACTCCAGTGCATCTGTAGCTTTAATAGAAAATAACCCAACCCTTGAGTACCTCTCCTGAAATGAAAATTCTTTAGCCTCAAATCTGAAACATGCAAGGACAAGATATCCTCCATGGAAACAGACCCTTTCTTCTAAACATCTCAAATTCCCCTCTTTGTGTTTCTTTCATAAGCACAGACAAAGCTTTCAAGCGTCTTAGCAAAATGCTTCTTACTTTTCAAAGAACATGTAGAATTACCAAGAAAAATTCCGGAAGAACTTTGGTCCCTATGGTCCCTATGACTTCTGTGCCTGGTTGCTTTTCTAACCATCCCTCAGTCTATAAAATGGGAGCCAGATTACCTAATGACTGCAAACTATGACCCTGACATGCCACAATCTCTTCTCCTTCTTATTATTTAAAAATATCCTGAGGACAAGGAACGAGTCTATGACAAAAATAAGGTAATACTAGTTTGCACCGATTTATAACAATACTGCATTATGTTTGAGAGGTCTCACGGCATGGAATGGATTACCATTTTGATAGGCTCAATCAATCAGTCGGTCCCTGAGTAGATCTTTGTTTTCTGCTTACTCAATGTGAGGCTCTGTGCCAGACAGGGACAAGGCTGACAGGTCCTCCCTTACAGACCTCAATATTGTGGACGAGCCAGGTCTACCAACAATCCGTCATGTGAGAGCTGAGGTGGCTGAGAGCAGAGCAGAGCAGAGACCATGGTGTTGGAGGAGAGGGGAGGGATATGAAAGGGACAGGGGGGCTGGAATTAAACAGAATTTCTTCATCAGATCCATCAGCTCTGTCCTGTCATTTTTCCATCTTACTGTCTACATGATAAATACTCCATTGCATAATTTTTGAAGGAAATTTAGTAATATTTTATGGAAGTACAGAACATACAAAACTATAGTGCATTCATCCACACTGGAGTGATAATTTCTTACAATATTAGAAGCGGTTTTAAGCCTTAAGAAAACACTTCTTTTATGTTCTATGTAGATCAGTGGCATAGATGCTTCTGCAACAGAATATTTTTCATCCAATTAAACTCTACTTAAAAGTAAAACACAGGTTTCCTCACTCTCTGAACTCTCACTATCCAATATTTGCTACAATGATCTGTTGACGGATAACAAATTCATTACCCATGTGGTTTGCTGCTATTGTATCTCAGATATTCTCCTGATAGGAGAGGGTCTTGAGTTCATGTTGTTTACACATGTTTTTTTGCTTTTTGTTTTTTAAAGATTTTATTTATTTGACAGAAAGAGACACGGCGAGAGAGGGAACACAAGCAGGGGGAGTGGGAGAGGGAGAAGCAGGCCTCCCGCCGAGTAGGGAGCCCAATGCGGGGCTCCATCCCAGGACCCTGGGACCACGACCCGAGCCGAAGGCAGACGCTTAACGACTGAGCCACCCAGGCACCCCTCATGTTGTTTAAACATGTTATGTTTTTATAAATATCCTTTTCCCCAGATTATTCAGTAAAAGGTCTTCTAATAAAGTAGAGAAACTAATGAAGGAAATGGTCAAGCTTAAAAAGCCTAAATAAGCACATGCACTACAAGAAAAACCAGGAGTGATAACACACATTGAGAGAGTTGAATGTGCTTGGCCTTAAGCTTAGCCATGCACTCGTCCTGTCCCCAACACCTACAAACTACAAATACAACGCTGAATATTCACAAGAAATTGGAGATTCCGAAAAAAAAAAATAAAATAAAGTTTCGCTGGTGCAAGTGAGTGTGATCCTGGCATGAGCAGACTTGTCACATTCACACAATTACAAATGCAGTCTCATGTTAGCGAGAGTTGTAGAACACCAAGCCCATGGAATGCAAACAGACTGCCACGGGGAGCTCTGCTTTCCATCCCATTGCCCTGTGTGTAGCTTCAGACAATGGTTCACAGCCAAACACCTCTGAACTCTCCTGCCAGGCAGGGAAGATTCTCCCCCCATTGCTTAGATCCAGACACAGATGAACGTCAGACGTTTCCTGTTTAACTCATTTCTTCACCAGCTCTTTCTTCCTTACCACTCCCCACCACCAAATAGCAACAGTGACCACAGCCTCCAGCTCCCTCCTCTCACCACCAGACCTCACACAAGCATGTCTTTAATCATAAGAAACCTCTTGAAAAGTTATCTTGTTTATTTTATTTTGCTAAGTATTATTGGCATGTGGTGCACATCTTTAATATATTATTTTGCTATTTATTTACATGTACATATACACTGTGATGCAGAAGGAAAATGTAATCCACGCTCGATACTCTGCACTGCACAGTGTCTAGTATTATGGTTTTCTACATACAGACATACCCACTAATGAGTTTATCAAGTATTAAATAACTAAATAGTATCACGAACAATTTCTGTTTTGCAGAAATCCTTGGTGGATTGTTAAATAGTGTAAGAAGGGGTTTAAGTGATATCTGGTCAACTGGCATTTTCCTGTGGGTTAGGAATGCATTTTTATGTTTCTCTCTCAAAAATCATGGAATACTGCGTCCATTCTCTGAAACTTGGTTAACAAATGTTAAGAAACAGATTATATTCACAAAAAGGGGGACACCTAATAGTTTGCCACAATGCCTACTTGCTGTTCTACCATTTAAAAGTATTTCAAGAAAAAGAAGTAATCACGTACTACCTCTAAATGCATTGTCTTAATTTGAAAGTCATTAAATGTCTGTGTCAGTTAACCGTGCTTTATTGCTTTTTTAAAAAAATAAAAAGCCAATCATTTGTATTTATATTTACCTGGAGAAGTTAAGATTTTTATTGGCTGGGCAAAGGAATTCAGCCTAGTAGACTGCTCTTCTGGATTCAACTGTCTGTTTTTTCATTTTAAAGGGAAAAATATTTGTAGATATTATTTCTCTCATTTCAGTTTTGTTTAATGAAACTATGCCCTAGGTCTCCATCACTTACTTCAGCATTAGCCTCTCACCTGCACTCAGGAGATACATGTTCCTCATCTGAGTCTTGTATCAGCAGAACCTCTTCCTCAGGTTTCTTCACAGTGAAAAGTTCCTGCAGAAAAACTGGCATTTTAGATACTTAAAATGTACTTATATAGTAAAAATACCCAACACATTTGTATAGCATGTAGTAAGTGTGGAAGCAATCTCATATCCAATATCACAGCTAATCTGCATAGCAATGTGAGAAAGGCACTTGATTTTACAGATGTGAACACTGAGGATTATAGATACGTAATGATCTGGCCCAAGATGCACAGCTAGTAGATTCAAGATCAAAGTAGATCCATCTCACAGTTGTACTCTGAGTTCCCTGCTCTGTCCACTGTGCTCCAGTCACACTGAAAAAAAAAAATCTTCCTTCAAAAAGCCCTCTGTTAGGACAGCAGGGGCGCCTGGGTGGCTCAGTCGTTAAGCGTCCATCTTCGGCTCAGGTCATGATCCCAGAGTCCTGGGATCGAGCCCCGCATCGGGGGAGGGGGGGGGTCCCTGCTCAGCGGGGAGTCTGCTTCTCCCTCTCCCTCTGCCTGTTGCGCCCCCTGCTTGTGCTCTTTCTCTCTCTGTCAAATAAGTAAATAAAATCTTAAAAAAAAAAAGCCCTCTGTTCTCACAAGATTTGTTCTCCAAAGTGACCACTAGTATGGAACAAATATCCTAGAAACCCAGAGGAAAACTGCAATAGATCACAAATAGGGATCCTTGTGCCATGAGGGGGATGAGGGGGAGGGAAGGGTGCCAAATGAGATTTTTTTTTTCTCGGAGGAGGGAGTAGATTTGGGGGGACCCCCAAAATGGGATGTCTGCCTACTCGTGGCAAGTATGAGAGCTCAAATCCCAGAGAGCTGCCAGAGAGGCATAATGATTGGGGCAATCAGACCAAGCAATTTCCTTCAATTGCTTTTCTCTCTACCACTTTTCTCAGGATCTTAAATCTGGAAAAATGATGACATACATCACTGCTCTACAACTGAATGTAAAGGGGTCCTTCACAGTTTCCGAAATGTAGTCAGTTAAAGTCGGCATTCTAAACCAGAGAGGAAAAGTAAAGCAGGTCTTTTGCCCTCTCTGGATCCTAATGATCACAATAATAATGATAATGATGATTATTTACTTTTCCTCTCTGCCGCCTCTTTCCCAAGTGCTTACCATGCATAAGGTGCCATCTTATTCACTCTTCACAACAACTCTAAAAGGAGGTTCTAGTCTCAGCATTTACAGAAAAAGAAACTGAAGCTACAAGACATAAGTGACTTGGACGAGGTCCTGCAACTGGTCTGGATCCAGAGGCCTCCCTCGCAAGGCAGTTGGATGTGTTGTATGTCACAATTTATCATAATGTTAACATGGCTCTTGATTTGCTCCCCCCACTCCCACATTGCCCAGTCCATAGTGTTCCTGTCTTGCTCAAGTCAGTTAGTGGCACTTCCATTCACTGAGCTGCTCAGGTCTAAAAGCTAGGAGTCGTTTTTCTCTCTTCTCCCACCCACTTTCATCACATCAGCAAGGACTTTGTGCCCCGTCCGTCTCCCAGTGATAACCCAAATCGTTGTACTTCTATCTCCATCACTCTAGTCCTAGCCAGGGCCCCATCAGCCCTCCTAGCACTCCTCTTGCCTCCACTCTTTTTCCCCCAGATTCCATTTCCCACCCAGCAGCCAGCCTAATCTTTTAAAAACAACAACAATGAAATCAGATCACGTCATCCTGCTTTCCACTCCACTTGAGTAAAACTCAAACTCATGATCATGGTTCTCAAAGTTCTCCAGAACCTGGCCTCTGTCTACCTCTTATTTTCTACTACTCTTTCCCTCTTTCACCTTCTTCTAGTCACATAACGATACTTGTTCCTTGGAACTCTCCAAGCTCATTACTACCTCAGGACTTCTACAGCTGCTGAGCCCTCTAGCTGGATTGCCTTCCCTTTTTGCTGGGTTGACATCATCATTGCGGGTCTCAGTTCAAAAGACAGGTCAGCAGAGAAAGACCTTCCGTGACCACTCTGTCTGAACTTCCTATTCCCACCAGTCATTAGCATATGATTGTTTTATCATCCCCGTGGCACTTTTCAATATTGTCTACTGTCTATTTCCCCTAATATTACTCCAGGACCTAGCAGAGCACCTGGCACATCGTAGGTGCTTACTTAATATGTACTTAGTGAATAAATTCATTGAACTTGAATCTACCCAGTGAATTCTAAAGTCTGATTTTTCTTTTCAGACACAGAACCTGGGAGTACTATATTAGTAGAACACTAAGTGAACAATGGTGGTAGGCACTGGGGAGAGCTGCCTCAAAACTCACCTCGTGACAGAAACCTTCCTTTATCCACCTCCCCAAATGGTCACTTCTCTTAATATATCCCACCCCCATCCCCCGTACACCTCTTTCATATCACATCAAAACCACCTGTAAATAATTGTACATCTCTTTTGGGTGTGTTGAGCTCTCCACTGACATGCTCACCTTCTGAAACACAGGGGCTGATCTTTCCTCATTCACATATCTTGCTTAGCACAACCCCTTGCACACATCGGGTTCCTCAGCAATGCTGTCCAGTAGCTGAGGGACCAAAGGGCACATGGCCTTTCAAAGGAAGCCCACAATGCCACAGTAGGGAAGGCACACACAGAACATACTCACCCGTAGGGTCTGATCCCTGAGGAGAGAAATGGACCCCACCAGATAAAACCGATCCTCCAGAGGAAGATAAGTAGGACACGATTCAGCAAAGGAGCTGCTGGGGAAGAAGCTACTGAAGAGCAGCAAAGGCTCTAAGGGAGACAGAGACACACATGTGACAATCAAATAGAAAAGCAGGCTGGCTATACAAGATTGACATCTGCCACGTCAGTGGGCTGTTAGTCCACTGACAATTTTCAGAATTCTGAGCCACAGATTTTTACTGCCATCCTTCTGTACCAGCTACCCTCCTCACCCAGGTCTCCACCAAAATGTGAAGAAGTCATTACTGAGAAATAACTGTTGTGACTTCAGGGTGATATTCAGCCTTGTGTTCTTACTCTGTGGATGGATGTTGTAGTCTCTAAAAGAAAGTTAGCTCTCCTCTTGTATGTAGCCCACACGGGTATTAAATATGTGTGTAATTTGTGTGTGTACGTAGTCAAGTAAGTTTTTTGAAAGTATCTGACCCTTAATCTCCAAAACACATGACAAACATATCAGACAACCATTGTGTGAGCTAATTTTCATTGTTTATTTACTCACTCACTCCCTTACTCAATCACTCGCTATATTTTCAGACCTCAGTGGCAAAGAACTGAGTTAATTACACTCTTAGTCCATGGCATATAATGAACATAGATAAAGTCCTCACTCTTGTTTTTCTTTCTGCCTCTTCTCCACCCACAGACACCCTTTGCCATCTACCACCTTTAATATATAAACTTGTAAAATATGTAGTCTGGTTTTATGTCTATGTGTTTACCATTTACAAAGGTGGCATTGCGGTATAGATCTCATTCTGTTTCTTATGTTTTACAGTCAACAATATGGTTTTAAGATTTAACCATGTTGTAGTATGTATACCTAGAGGTCACTGCTTTCAAAGTTTTCCATATTGTATATTTCCCACATTTTACTTGTCCATTTCCCTAATGATGCACACCTAGGCTGTCTCCAACTCCCTTAGACACAGATCTCTCTGTAAGTTCGCCTCTGGTATATTTCCACCTAGTGATGGGATTGCTGAGTCACAGGATAATTAACATAATTTAAGTTCGCTCTGTGTTTCAGGAATGTTTCATGAGTTTACATTCCTCTCAACACTGTATTAGTTCTCACCCCCTCACCAATATTTGCTTATTATTCACACTGCCTGATTGCTGTCATTCTGATGGGTGTACAGTGCTATCTCACTGGTTTTTAAATTTTTCACTCTTTGCTTACTAGTGAGTTTAAGCATCTTTTTACATATTTCTTGGGCCATTTACCTCTGGTTCAAGCCCTAGATGTTTTAATGGCCCCAAATCAGTGTTTATGTTATTTCTCAGCCTATAGTTCCTGAAACCTTAAAATCTGTAAATTTGAACCCTGTATCCACACAACACAGATTTGGGTTTTGATTTCTTGTAAATGACACATTTTTTTCCATTCAAATTCTGAGGGAGATGGCAAACTTATTCTTCCTCTAGGCCAGTGGACAGAATTTTACCGATCATTTGAAGTCTCTAGGTTTTATGTTTGGTCCTTGAATGACTATTAGAACTCCAGACCCCAGCCATTGGAGCCCACATACGATTTGTAGCCCACCTAGGACATCACCTAGGCCTCCTGTTACCATGAGAGTCTTGTACTTAATCCTTTAATTTCTGGCACCCATGGACTTCCCTTTTCTTTAAGCTTGGCTATGCATCAAATTGCTTTTGTTAGGTTTTAAGAATCGCTTCCTGTTTTTTATAGAAGGAAAGAGTCATTCTTATTAGCTCAATCCACCATGTTACCATGTGACCCTACCTTGTAAATTTCACTATGTTTTAAACTGAATATTTAATATACTTTTTAAGATTAGAAGGAATGCAATAAGGATTAGAATTTTATAACATATGTTAGATATTTCTGTAAAAAGGATTCCATTTTTCAAAGGAGTTTCCCCTATTTCCCTCTCTTTTCTACCTTCCTCAGAGCAATAAACAGTAATTACAACTCGCATAAGTAAGCTGCTCCATTGTGCTGGACAGTAATTATATCTTTATGTTTCAAGTGCTCATCATGTCCAAAAATCCCCTTTCCTTGCCCTGCACAGTCTCATTGCTGTTTCACAGTCTCACTGCACTCTGCTCAAATTCAAAGAGCCTGGACAAAAAAGCTAGAGGCCCAAGTCTACTGGCACAAACCTTCTATTTATTCATAACTGCAATAGCAGAAATGAAAGCTACTTTAGTGAACAAGGAACTGAGGAATGAGATCATTAAATATAACTAAACATATTTTAAATATAATATCATGTATTTTCTGTCAGGTAAGTGTCTAAGCTATGTATCCTGAATTCTTGTCTCAGAGAAAAAGATCAGAGACAATTACAAGCAAGGTGCTTCATATTATGAGGTCCATTTTTAAAACAATGAGATCCTTTGGAACAATCACTTTACTCTTTCTTTTTATCAGAGATTTCCTTTGGTCCTTTTGTTGGTAATCCATTAATGTCTGCACCCTTATTGTCTACTTTGCCTTTTTTTTTTATCATTAATGTCTATAACCAAAACCTGTGCTCATAGGGATATCAGAGAATGTGAGAGAACCAACAGTGGAAGGGCGTTTATGTTAGCAATGAAGGGCTAGGTAATGCATTAACTTCATCTAGATCAGATTAAAAACTTAACTGCTTACCATTTGAAATATCTGTGACTGTCAGGATGAATTTCACATATTCATAAGTAGGTCTGCTATCATAGTCAACATTTCCTCTCTTTAAATGACAGCAAAAATCAATATGTTTTCCCACTAAGAAAAAAAAAACAGATACAAAACAAGTTTACAATTGTACGTTACCATATTCTGCAGGATTATTTCATAGGACTATTGTCTTACTTAGAAGAGATTTTACAAAAATATTACTTTCTTTCCAGGAACATTAGCAGTTGCATACTGTCTATGTTGTACCTGCAGAGTGGAGTACCAGCTAGAACATTATTTATATAACACTAATGCAATTATACAAAAGCTGAAATTAGGGCGCCTGGGTGGCTCAGTTGGTTAAGCAACTGCCTTCGGCTCAGGTCATGATCCTGGAGTCCCGGGATCGAGTCCCGCATCGGGCT